GCCTAATAGGACAACCGACTTTTGCAGCCTTGCAGGGGTGAGAATGGGACAAAGATGCATTTGCTATTACGAATGGGACAAATCAGGGTGTTCACCCAAACATTTCTAGACGATTCATCCATTTTCTCTAGGGGGTAATATTGGGAATGTAAAATAAGGGTGTTTCCACTACTCTACTTGTCCCATTCTCATTAGGCATTTTAAGAGGGTAAGATTGGAAACATGAAATCAGGGTGTTGGATGATTCATCCATTCTCATTTTTATAAATGGGTAAGATATTTTTAATCAACTTTAATATATTTGGGTCCAAAGAAGGGGTGCAAATGGATCGGATCACGACCCGAGATTCAATCCTATTTGGTTGAATTTGGATCACTCTTGTTCAGATCTTCGGGTCGGATGATAGGATTCGATTAGAAATCAAATCGGATTCGAATCACCCCTATCCGATCCGATATATATTATATATTTATAAATATAAATATACATATATATGTTATTTATTTATTTATAACTAATTTTTATATAAATTTGCTATATTATTTATTTTTTATAAAAACATATATATATGATGAAAATAATTACAAAATACTTATATTTTTTGTTTTTACTTTATCTAAATTAGTATATTTTATTTTTTTAATAATTTATTAATTTTAAAGAAAACAAGTTGGATTGGATCAAATCCGACATGAACAGTGCCAAATCCAATCAAATCCATTTGCTTCCCTTGTCCAAAAGCACTTCCTCTCTAAGAAGGTTGTATGTTGATTCATCAAGATTGAGCCCGAAGTGCTTGGAAGCCACACTAAAGAGTCCTCTTGCCAAGAGAAGGAGATGTGGATGGCTAGAATTTTATCCGTGACGTGGGGAGGTATGACCTTAGCCAGTTTTACATGGTCCCAAAATATTTTTGAGGTTCCAGAGTAATGAATTCCTTTACTCTCAGCTCAAAGTCATCATAGTCATTTTCTAATTGAAGGATCATTTGAAGGGGTTAGTTTGTAACATAATTGTCCTTCCAGAAATTGCAACCCGCTCCATTTCTTCACTCTTAAGTATGTCACAACATTTAGATTACCAAACAACCCCACTATATTTAGATGTTTGAAAAAAAACAAAAAAAAAAACAAAAAAAAAAACAAATTTTTTACTAAATGCTTTCAAAGTATTTTTGGATTTTTTTTTTTTTTTGCTTTTCAAACTTTAAACTTCATATTTACCAAACACCTTAGCTAGAAATGGCTAAAAAGAGGCTCATAACAATGAAAAAATAGGGCCTAATAGGTCAGGTCCAATGTAGAATTGCTATAGGGAATAAGTAGTTTGCCATAATTCTTAAGTATTGGAATCAGGTTACTATGGTTGAGCAAATGGGTAGGTTCTACCTAGAACCAAATGGAATAGACCACAAATCAACCTTGAACAAACCATATTCAATTCGTTACAGTGTAGGGTTTCGTACCAAATTCTTGGAATTGACCCCCACTTAAGTTGGTTCCAAGGTTTAGGGGTTTACCCTATTCAAACCGACCCAATGAATTGGCCTTGGTGGAATTTGCTTTGGAATTGAACTTGCTTTAAAATAAACCCCAAAATACTTTTAAAGTTGTGAAGGTTTGAACCCAAGCACTCATGGTTACAAAAGATCATGGTCTTGCTTAACCATTGAGTTAAGTGATTTGATCATTTGTTTTCATTTTAATATTTGAATGTGTATAATAAGTATTGTAAAAGGTAATTGATGAGGGGTAATTTGGTCATTTGAATTGTACAATGACATATGGCTTCCAGACAACACCAAGTCAATGAATAGCTCAGTGAAATTAGCTCGGAGCATCTTAACCAGGCCGAACCGAACAAGCGAATTGGCTATGAGAGCAGACCAAGCTGAATCGACAGTCGAAGCAAGCCTCACCAATCGCACAAAATCAAATAAGCTGAACCGAATGCGTAGACCAAGCAACGACAAGCTAAACCGGATCGGCCAAACTTGTAGAGAGAAGCTAGGTAAACCGAAACTGTCCCAAAAACTTCTACTCTCTTTGTTTGCTAAATAGCGACTCGAGAGTGGGGGGCTATTGACGATGGACATTTTGGTCAACCCACTTGATGATGGAGTAACATGTGGCAGTCAACAACAGATACGTGGCCAAGCTAGGGCGAGCTCTATCCTCCGACTGCCCCAGCTCGCCCGAAACAGCCCCGCAAACAATGCCCGTGTAAGAGCTATAACCGTAGTACAGAGAATGATCCACCTAGTTGACCGCCCCCAGACCAGCAGGCGACCTATAACTGTCGCATGGATCTAGCAAACAATCAACCAGTACACCCCAGGATTTAGGAAACAACTCCGTACAAGGCTCAGAGACATTACCATACAGCACCTGAACCTCGGGTATCTATAAAAAGACCCCAGGACCACTCCAAAAGGTATGCGCACATAAACCCTCACTCTCTCATATTCTCTCCCATAAAGGATAATTCGCTAACTTAAGCATCGGAGTGACCCCCTGGGTAAAAATCTACCCAGGCGCTCTAACCTCTCTTCCTTTTCAGCTCTCAGCTCGGACCCCCAGCTTGGCTTTATAGCTCGACATTGTAGCTCGACTCACACCGTAGGCTGAACCTGATCCGAGCCACCTCATCAGACCTAAAGGAGTGAACAAATTCTGTGCCTCATCTATTGGTGGGACCATTTTTGGCTTCACCAGTAATATTTACAAAGTTTAAATTATAATGATAAGTTTTTAACCATACATTAAATTACTCAATTTGATCAATAAACATAATATAAGTTTTAAACTATATATTGTATTAATCTATTGAAAACCAAGTTTTAAAGAATATGTTTCATTTTTTTTAAGGAGGAGAATAAAGAAAGAACGAATTCCACGAATAGACCCTAGAACTGACCTCAGAACCATCAAAGCCAAAACCATCTTAGAAACCGACCTTTATAGGATAGATTCTGGTTCCAAAAACCTAAAACTGACCCTACATGGTAGGTTCCAGGTTCTATTATGAAAATGAACCAAAGTGATCCATGCTCACCGCTACAAACTACATATTGCAATATTGGTCTTATTTATAATTTTGTACAATTGTGCCCTTTTTATTTCACTTTTCTTGTTACTTAATTTATCTAGGTTGGGAATAGGGATGTCAATTTTTCCCATTTTTCCTATTCTATTAGAATCCGTTCCAAATGGGGCAAGGATGAGGATAAGTTTTCGAGCACAGAGATGGAGAAATTTTCATCCCATTGGTGGGGATGGGGAGAGTACTTCCTACCTCATCGGGTTGGGATTTTTGCAGGAACAGGGATGTGAGCAAGGTTTAAAATTTCAATATGATACGACTGATACGGGGCGTATTGTATCATGTTTTTGAAAAATAGATACGGGATATACATAGTGTTTCATCTTTTTTCATGTGTATTGAACCCTATCGAGGGTGTATCAGGGCGTACTGGGGGTGTATCGAGGCATATTGGGGGTGTATCGGGGCATATCGGTAGCATATCGATGAAAAAGATACAACAAAAAACTAAAAAAATAAAGGGAGAAAGCAAGCTTCTTTTCCTTGAAATAAACCTTATTTCACCCCCAAAATGATTGTAAAACTCCAATCCTCATTCCTAGAGTGCTAGATTTGCAAAAATTTGCACCAAATAAGTGTGAATCGTTGATTTTTTTGGAGATTTTTCAAATTTTGAAAAAATATAAAATAGGCATTTTTTTTCAATTTTTTATAATATCTTGTGATTTCTTTTTTCTTGAATGTTTAAATTTATGTTGATCTATATTTCTTACATTCAAAATCACATTTTTTTTGTATTATTAATAGATTTATGGAAATTTCATAAAGATATTTGGGGAAAATATAAATTAACAAAAAATTTGAAAATGTAATTTTTTCTCTGCCTATAAAGACTAAATATGTTTTAGATCTATGGATTTATCTATTATATCCATAGAGCAATTGAAATTTCTTCTTTAATATTTTTTATATTTTAGAATTAAAAAATAGATAATAATTAATTATATTTTAACATTTTATCACAACAATTGAATATATTATAATTCTATGGATGATCTATCATATCCACAAATCAATTGAAAATTCTTCTTTAATAACTATTTTTTTTTATTTTTATATTTTTAGAATTTAAAATAAATAAATAATTAATTATATTTTATCATTTGATCACAATGATTGAATATATTATAATTATATGGATGATCTATCATATTCACAAAGCAATTGGAGTTTCTTCTTTAATAACTATTTCTTGAATATATTATATAATGTTTATTTATTTTTTATAATTTTTGAAAATAAATAATAAATAATTATTAATAATATTTTCACTTAGAAGTTGTGCCAATGCATGTTTTATTCTTGGATAGGAGAGTTGGAATTTTCCCATCCCATAAAACATTAAAACTTAAGAATTATAATTTATAAATTACAGTTAAGCATAAGATTTTTAATAAAATTATAATTAACTATAATATATTTCTTCATAAAACCATTAATATATATTAATTTAATGTATATACACAGTCTTATATTTATTATTGTTGATGTATTTTTATGATTTATTAAAGTATTTATAGTATTTCCAAGCGTATCTATACATATCTTAGTTTTTCTCCAATACTCATATATGTCCAATGCCTATCTTGATACATCTCTTAAAATTGTCTTCCCAATACACTTGACATTTCCGACTCCGCACACTGCATTACCATTCATTCCTATGCCTAGTTGGGAACGTTTCGTTGGTAGCAGATCGCTACCCATTTTACTCATCAACCCGTTTATAATTATAATTTTATAACCAGCCTAAATGGATGTTTTCTAACCGATCCGGTCAGTCCCACTTCAGTCCAACCAAACCGCATTTCTCCCGGCATTTCAGCTAGCCGGTCCGGTCTGGTTCAGAACACCGATCGAGGGTATTCATATAATTGCAGCATAAGTGACGTATGCCCATAAATTCCATTCCAAAACCCTAATCCCATAAGGCATAAGAGACCTTTTTCTCTGTTTCGCTCCATCTCGCACTCCTCTCCCCTTCGAGTAACAGAAGTCTTCGAACAATGGTACGGTATTTCCAGATCTTCCACTACTTCTCTCCTCTCACTGGTTTCTTCCTTTCTTTCTTCTCACATGGTTTATTCTCTTCTGATATGATCTCTACAGACATTCAAGAGGAGAAACGGAGGACGAAACAAGCATGGCAGGGGCCATGTTAGGTTCATCCGCTGTTCTAACTGCGGCAAATGCTGCCCTAAGGTTCTCTTTCCTTTTTTCCATTTTTTTTTTCATTTTTTTTCTGGCAAAAATTGTGTTTCATTGTATTTTTATCAAAATTTGATTGATTTTTTGTTATTTTTTTTTTCGTCAGGACAAGGCAATCAAGCGATTCCTGGTCAGAAACATCGTAGAACAGGCAGCAGTTCGTGATGTTCAAGAAGCTAGTGTTTATGAATGTAAATTTTCTTACCAGATCCTCCATTTTATTCATTCATTATTTATTTTTTGGCGGATCTATTTTCCTTTTTTCTTTTTAGTTTCGCTTAATCTATTTTATCTGTGAATCTGTATTTGTAAAGCCTACACACTTCCAAAGCTATACGCGAAGATGCAGTACTGCGTTTCCTGCGCGATCCACTCTCATGTGGTTCGTGTGAGGTCTCGCACCGACCGTCGCAACCGTGAGCCTCCGCAGCGTTTCAGACGTAGGGTAAGATTAACACTCTTGATCTAATGCCTTATTCTCAATTTTTATTGATCAATTCTTTGGCTTATTTCTTTAAATTTATGTTTAATTTGGTTTGGTTTGATTTGATTTAGGATGACATGGGTAAGCCAGGACAAGCTCCACGCGTAACTGCTGCCGCTGCTCCAGCCCGCACGTGAGGGGTTTTCAGTGCTCTCACTTTATTTTGTTAGGCTTTATAGTTTTCTTTGCGCTTAAGCAAATGTAGTCGACTGAGAGTTGGATTTTGTTTATGGGATTTAATCTACAGTTCAGATTTCAGTGATTGAATATCGTAAGCATTTTGCAATTGAACCTCTATGAAATATGTTGGTTTTGCAACGATTGATTATTTAATGCTATGGAAATTTATTGTCATTGCCTTTTCTATTTCGGTCTTTTTGTTGGCATGGTTTGTAATCACGGTGGCTGCAATAGTATGTGTGACTAGGCGTTAGCAGTGATATTTTAATGCAATTTTTTCTTACAATCACAATAGGATAAATAAGAAAACTAAGCTATACTTTCAATTTCCAATGCGTCACCACGCAGGGATTGCCTAAATCCCTCCATCAAAAACTAGAAAGCAATTAGACAATTCCACAGGCAGCCTTTTCATGAAACCAAATAGTATGGTGCGTTTCAGTGGTTCAGTATAAACAGGCACAACTAAACATGCATTTTTACCAAGCATTGCCATCTTTTTTTTTCTAGTCCATGTTTTAAGTCATACTTCATCTGCTTATTATATCATTGTTGGCCCCCAGATCCTATTTAATCTTTTATTATGGTTATACCAAGATATATTTCATAGATATTGATGATAGGTTTGAACATTGATTCCATTTCATTATAGATACTGATGATCTCTGTAATGCAATATCATGGTTGCCCACTTTTTTGTTTGAAGTTTTAAACCGTTTATCTTCTCTTTAAGAGTAGTATATTCATACCAGAACAATGTACATAAATTCCTTGGTGTCCTAACTCATTGAATCATTTTAGTTTGAATGCTATGCCCTCAGGTTAAACCGGAGGTGTATATTGATTATGTGATGGCCTTTTTTCATCAGCAATTGTGTCATGGTCATTTTTCTGCAACATCCAGTTTACTGGCTTGTTGAAGAATCTATTGTGTTTTACCTATAGCACAAGTTCTGATTCTTTGGTCTTGAGTTGCTCTCCAGGTGGTCTAGAAGGAAAATTACCCATTGTTGTCTAGGTTCTCTTCATGTCCAATATTTTCATGCAATCCTTGATGAACTATGTGAAAGCTTTTATGGTAGTTGTCTCCTTGGTTAGTAGGACGTCAAGTATAACGTTCATGTCCTGAAGTTCTGATTGAGGTTGTAAGTGCCAGTCACTTACATTTGGTAGGTGGGCACATTACTTGCTTGACATCTTGATAGGTTATGTGCGAACCTAGACTTGTATTTAAAATTACCTGGGTTAATAGTGCCTTCGCAAGAACTCTGAAGATTTACTGGGTTACATATAGGTGCTTGTGTTGCCTGATTAACTAAGGTAGTAAGGTGGTGTTTGGAACTGTGGTCACCTTGTGGGTGGACCGTTTTGGTCCATGCCACGGGATTGCTACAGAATTCAGTTTGCTATGGATGGGATTGGTACACAATATATTTTAGATCGGCATTGTCCACACCCTGAAATTTCCTCAACACATGTACATGTGTACATGTACATATAGGTGCTTGTGTTGCCTGATTAACTAAGGTAGTAAGGTGGTGTTTGGAACTGTGGTCACCTTGTGGGTGGACCGTTTTGGTCCATGCCACGGGATTGCTACAGAATTCAGTTTGCTATGGATGGGATTGGTACACAATATATTTTAGATCGGCATTGTCCACACCCTGAAATTTCCTCAACACATGTACATCTGCCTTGAACTATTTTCACTCTTTTTTACTGTTGGAAGCTTTTTCATTGCCTCTCCTCCATTGTTGCTCCTCCACCGCCTGCCTGTGCATTGCAAGCATAAGCTCTCCTTTGCCGCCCCTTTGTTTTTTTAATATTAGTTGTTCAATGTTTTTATTAATAAAATAATATTTTTTTTATTTTAAATGATTTTACTATTATTTTTTATTAAAATTAATATTTATTGGTTTATTAAATCATCAATGCCTTTTTTTAATTTATTTATCATATAAAATGTAAAAAGTAGACATTTATGATTTGACTTGATAGATCACTTCATAAACTGTATATGAGATACATAGAATCAAAAGGTGTATTGTGTCCAGTCCACAGTTCAGAATGGCAGTAGTGTGGCGTGGATTGGTATTGCAAGTTTGCCACAGTAGTGTAGTGTGGACTGGTTAAAAATGCTATTTAAAAAAGCAATATTGATTTCAACTTGCACAACCAAAACTGGTTTCCACCTGCTAACGAAAGTGCAGCTGATGCTTTCAAGTTTCAATCCATCATGGCAGATTTCCTGATTAATTCTCATGCTTTAGTCATTGCTGTTAGTCTGGCTCAGGCTTTTTCTAACCAAAGTGCAGCGGATGCTTTCAATCCGTCGTAGTAACTTTTGCATGGTGGTTGAGCAAGCAACCACTTACCTTTTATTCTGTTCTACCAGAGCAGAAGCCATATGTTGCATGATATGCATAAAATGGCAATACAGACTGATATGGTCAGTATGTGTTTATATATAAATTTATATTATTCTTATGGGTTCTACCATGAAATGAGATGTCTAAAATATTTTTGACCAATCAGCTGGTATCATAGCCAATCAGGTATTATTTATCAAAATTCATTGACAAAAACTCTTCCCCATGCTATTTCTTTCCCGCATCATAGACTTTCCCTATTCTTATATATGAAGTTTGTGCATAATTTTATGGTATTTAAAGATTGTGCATAATACGTTTATAAGTTTAGTAAGGGTTTATATTAAGCAATTTATATAAATAGTGTATACTTCTGAAGTTTAGAAATTGTAATGGGATCATGTGTGTTTTAAATTTTTAATTTGGTAACTTGGGTCGTGTGGTATTTAAAATTTTTAATTTCAATATGTACACAGATATGCTGTTAAAAGTATGTATTTCTTGAGGTTTAGAATCTGTACTTTTGTGTCTTGTAAGATTCATGTGGGCTTTTCCTGCTCTGCTAAGATTTCTTTGCAACACCCGCTTGGAACCTGGTTTTTATATTTTTGCACTAGTTGCCATTCGCTCTTGGAAGTGTGGCTTTTTATCATGGGCGGGGTTACAAGAGTTTTATATTAGACCATACTGTTTAACGAGTGCGGATATTCTGTTATTCTAATTAATAAATTTTAAGGTGGCCGTCCCCCCACCTTGAGTGAAGTTATGTTAAAAAAACGAGAGACGGGGAGATTAGGGCATTTTGTCATTAAAAACTCATCCAATTTTGAAATTGAAAAAATGAGATAAAACAGGGCTTCTCCCACAAGTTCCTAAAAGGAATCATTTGCTGCTTTGTCAGGTTTCTATGTGCCTCCCTGATGAAATTTCACTAGTTCTGACCTCTTTTATCACCACCTACACGCCAATTCATGGCACAAAAGAAATCGGCGCTCTGTTATCTCCTCAATGCACCAAAGAAATCTCGACTTCTCAATCAGAGTCCGGGTCACCTGCCAACAAAACACGTTCCAATCCTTTACTAACATAATCTTACTCATGTTGGTGGAAGGTTCGAATGTATTTTGTTTAAAGATCTCAATTCATTTTTTTTTTATGCAAATTAAAAAAAAATCTCAACTCAATCAATTTATGCAAATAAAGTATAAGCCAAGATTTTTAAACCATTCCTTGGATGGTTGGACCGTTTGGACCTGAAAACTAGTCAGGTGTTGGTTCTGTTTTAGAACTGTTGTTTTATTCACCCTAGATAATGGTTTTTGGGCCAGATTTTTATTTTATTATTTTTTAATTTTTTAATTTTCATTGAACTGTTGACTGGGAAACCTGGTGGCCAAAGCGGCTCTAGATTTACTCATTCATATCATATATTCTTCAACAAAATATGCCTTCTCGCCTTCTCAGTGTCCGTCTATTGAGAGTAAGCGTAAGGAAATAATGGAGAATCATACGACTTCAATCTTGGAGAAATTAACTCAAAAGCGTAATCATTGTTTGCTTTAGTAGCAAATTAACAATGAGCCTCGCTACAATGATGATCGTTTCTTTTGTTTTGATTTATGTTGTTGGTTAGCATGTGATCTAAGGTGTAAAACTTGTATTTCAAAATCAATTATATCAGTTTTGGTTATGTGATGTCATCATGATTAATAATTGAGTTGGTTCTATTTCTTTCTTGTTCACCCCTCGACTAGTTGTTGTCCTAAGCTAATATATAAAATTTTCTTTTTTTTTGTAATTTTTATTATATTTTATGTCTAAGATGGTAAATTTGATTGACAATATATAAAATGATTTTAGTTAAAAGACATAAATAATTTACTATTTTATTATCATTTTTATTAAAGTTATATTATCACAAATCAAGTCTTTTGTTGTTACTTATATAAATAATTATCTGTTAGTCTGGTCTATCAGGTCAGACCTGATTATCCCAATTCTTAATTAGGATGGTTCTAGGTAGGGGTGATCATGGTTTGGTTAACTGAATCATGAGGGTTTTTTAGAAACCGAACCAGTCCTACTGATTTTTTCATATCTCCAAACCAAAACTCAACTGATGCCATCAGTTGGCCGATTCGGTTATTGGGTTTTTTGGTGTTTTATATTTATAACATATGTTATAAATAAATAAATATAATATAATATATTATAAATAACAAATGACATATAATATATTATAAATATGTATATGACATTATAAATACTATAAATATATGATATATTTATAATATATTATATATTATAAATAGATAACTATAAATATAATATATGTATATATTTATATATAATATATAGATAATATGTGAGATATATTAAAAATATATATAATATACATATAAATACACATCGGTTGATTCGGTTAACCGTCAATTTTTTCTAGGTTAACTGAAAACCAAACCGGTCTTTTGGTTTTTTAGAAATACTGAACCGGTCGATTTGGTTAACCACATTTTTCGGTTTGGTTTTCTTGATTCAATTAGTTAGGCTTTTCTATTTTTTATGAGCACCCCTAATTTTAGGTGTATGGTTTTGCCCCAATTACCAATCAATTGGGATTGGGACACCTTGTCCATACTCAGACCTGACTCGTTGACAGCCAAATTATGCCCTAAAATGAAAGTGTTAGCTTTACCTTTCAAAATTTGTATTTTGAAATTGGCAAAAATCTTTGTATTTATAATTTATCCAGTACAATTTTATTATCTCAAAATTTTGATTTTGATGATGGAAAAATTTGTTCCTTCGAGGGTATTCTCGTGCCCATTGATTTTATTCCCCGTTATGCTGATGTGGTTCCATGAAAATTAATTTGATATGGGCACATAATGGCTGATTTAATTTGATATTTCATACTAAGGGTGATTTAATTTGATATTGCGACCTCATTTGGCACATTCTAGGCATGACGTGGATTTTTTTTTTTAATTAAAGCGTACATGGGGAATTGATGGAAACATCAAATATAGTATCTTGAAACACTTCTGTTAAGGTTAATTACTTTATAGTCTGTGATTTCACTAAATTAATAAAATCGATCTTATGGTTTTAAAACTACTTAAAATATATCTTTTAAAGTATTTAACCGTCAAGAATTATAGAAAAAAATTAAATGGACAAAAATATTCCCAACTGTTCTTTAATTTTCAAAATATACCTGCAAAGAAAACTCGGCTGGTGTTTGAATGGCTGCACAGGAATCTTGTCACTACTGAAGAATATAACATCAGGGATCAATCTATTCAGGCACCCTAGCCAAGAAAACATGCCCAATAAACCCAATAGCGGAAACTGAGTTGAAAGACACATTCTATAACATGCAAACCTCTAGATGGGGTTGAGTGAGAATGGATGGCCAATAGCGGAAAATACTTCTCCTGTATTCTACCGAAGGCATTTTATATGATAAATTTAAGATTTAGGATTTTGGGTTTAGTGATTTAGGCTTTGAAATTTAAGGGTTTAAAATTTAGATTTTAGGATTAAGATTTAGGGGTTTAAGGATTTAGACTTTAGGATTTAATGATCATATACTTTAAATTATAGGGTTTAAGGTTTAGGAGTAGAAGCCAAGTTTTGCTCATAGCAAATTTGCAAACATGATAATATGTGAGTGCCTGAGTGGGGTAGGGGGATTTGCAAGTTTGCCATGTCGCCGAGGGTTCAACAAGTCATGGGTTAGTTCAGGGGCGGAGCCAGGGGGTGGCGGAGGGGAACCATGGCCCCCCTATGTCTTCAAAATTCCCATATAACCCATTTAAATTTCACTTATATTTTGAATCCCTTATCCATGTTTCTTACCTTTTGACCCCCTATCCATATTTTTTAGGTTTTTAACCCCCTTCAAGAAAAAAAATCTAGCCCCACCTTTAGGTTAATTTTTCACTTTGTTTTCACTTTTCAAATTCAGACAATAGTTTTTTTTTTTTTTTATTGCCTTCAAAAAAAAAACTACTGTCTCAATTTGAAAAGTGAAAACAAAGTGAAAAATTAACCCTTTTTCACTCTTCCATCCATAAACCATAAACATTCCTAGAAATTAAAATACATAAGAAGGCTAAAATTTCATTTATCACACTCTTATGCTCAGCAGTCAACTCTACTCGTCAGGGCAAGCGTCCGGTGACCACTTAACCATGGCCAGCTACCTCTCTTCTCTAGAAAACCAACACTTTCAGCTGATCTTGCCAACTTCCCATGACCTAAACCATTATCTGAAAGCCCTATTGTCATTTATACAAAAATTCCGAATTTTCAAGTGAGATGCCCCTTCTTTTATAGAACCAGAAAGGGCTACACAGAACGGGGGTAGCGTCTCTAGAATCAAAGCAACAAATAACACTTCAAGGCCTAGGAATGGAGCTATTAGAAACTTCGTTGGAGTGCGCATAGTTAGCTAACCAGTTCGCAGCAATATTTCCTTCTTTGTAGATGTGCTGATACTCGACCTTTCCTTCAAATCATTCCATCAAAGCTCTGCAATCTTCACTAATTAGATGCACTCTCCACAGGGGGGTTGGAAATTCTTTTCAAACAATCAATTACAAGCTTCGAATCTCCTTCGATGATCACTTTGATACAAGAGGCATGCCTGGCAACACATCCCTGGCAAAATCGACTTTAATAGCCTCATGTTCAGGACTAGTCCCTCTAACGGGGAGAACTTCCTTCTTTCTCAAATCACTTTGATCTCCATCTATCACACATTGAAGATCCAAAAACGCATTGTAAGCTCTTTCAATGATAAAGGAGGGAAACATATTCCTATTTTTAAATACAAGATGCCCCTTTGAATCTGTTCCTAGCACTGTCAAGAAATGTTTTTACCAGACTATGTTGGTCCTTGTTCTCCATTCTATGGTCCAGACTCATTTTGAAGAAAACATATGTCATGTACTCTGTGATTGGAGGCTCTAGAAGGCATAAAAGGAGTCCAATAGAGTATTCATCCATCAAAGTTATAATTCACCATTAATTCTAAGTCTACAATAAGATCTTGGTGATATGAATTGCCATATTCATAGTTGACAGGAATTCAACCAGATGTATGCCCCTACTACATGTCTTTGAATCTGTTCCAAAGACACGTTGCAATGGTTCTACCAACTTCATATCTCTCCACCACACGACCATACAAAAATCAGCCTCTGGCATACTAGTTGAAAGCTTTTGTATGGATGCTCGATATAGACAACAAACAAATCATGTTGCAATGGGCTTGAAAGCTGCTTCCGGATTTTGAGAGCAAGTAATTTTACTACAGACTGAGACTAAGAGATGTGCCCAGAAATTCAGATTTCTTCTGGGAAAGAAGCAACTGAGGCTCATGGAAATGAGTTTTATGCAAAGTTGCAAACTGTTGCAGTATGTCTGGGTTCTGTTTAACTGAGAAGTGAATTATAAGGGTGCAACCCTATAACATCCATAAATCAACAACTGGAAGGGCCAAACAAATTCTAGACCAATCTCAACCAAAAAAATGTCTATGCTTCTGATATTAGCATACAAAACTGGAAGAGTGTACAAGTTACATGCTTCAGATAAGTTCGTGTCTTACCATATCTAGATTAAGATGAACAGAACTTCACTCTGGTCACAACTCAAAAGGAGATACTTCTATTTCCTTGACACTGGGGGAAGAAAGGTAAAAGACAAGAGAAGACATAAACTGGAAGAGACTTATCCTAACATATCACTTGATCCGCTCATCCGCATGCTTAATGAATATAAATCAGAAAGGCCAACTATAATGCTAAGGAATGGAATTCAAACTGTGCCCCTAAGTTCCTAATAAAACCATGAAAACTCTCTTTTACCTTGGTCTTCCTCCTTTAAATTGTACGGGGGCTCTTTGTAATAGATCCACTGATTGGTTGGTCCCTAATAAAGCTCATTCTGCTAAAAACAGTACCCCGGCCACTGGGAAAGGCAAATAGATCCACTGATTGACCAAGAACACAAAATAAATTGTTTTCCATTTAATTAAGACAATTACAAATAAACTGGGATTTCAACAAGGTGATTTAGGGGCATAATTTATCCATGGATAATCCTTGAACTGAACTACAAGAACTTCATGAGATTAAAGTACTTCCAATATTCATAATAGAAGTATTCTTGTAAAAATCTTTAGTAGAGTTCACTCAACAAAACATACCGATTAGAAATACATTCTGTATCATAATTATTGCTCTAAACTAGAATTAGAAATTCCTGAACAGTATTCCCCTAAACGGAATTTTGAGCAAAACTTCTTCTTTTTTGACAATTCTCTATGAATCATAACATAAACCCTAAAACCTGAAGAAGCCCAAATCGAATCAATTCCATAAGATTTTATAGCAGTTACCGAGAAAAAAGGAACTCAATGCGGTGATTAAATCAAGTAGACCATTTTTGGGAAATTCATATAAACTCAAGATCAAAACGCAAGAAGTTGTGGATAAAGGGATTCTTTTCTACAATTTCAGCACACGGGGAACAAGATCCCCCAATTCAATCACAAGGCAGAGCTACAAAATATCTTCTTACCAACATAAATTCAAAATAGAAAAAAGAGATATTGAGAGTGAGAGGGAAACAAATGAGATTGAAACTCATTCACAAGAGAACACTTGTTGCGGTAACCTCCAAGCCTCATAAGTGCTGAAACACATGTCGTCAATAGAACCGCTGAGGCACCATCGGCATTTGGAGTTCTGCAAGCACTCAGATTTCGAAGCCATCTGTCTACAATTTGGGATCTGGTTGTTCTTCTGGAGACTCAGAGAACTCCGAAAAGAACCCGATGAGATCCATCGATCGCCGCCGGCTCCATGTGGTAGCGAAGAGGCAACATAGAACGTATTGAGGAGTAAGAGCAGAGCAATAGTTAGAAAAACAGAAATCCTAACCCTAGACGCCATGGAAATTGCTCTCAACTTGCAGTGACGAACAACGCTTAAACAGAACGGTCACGGTTCTGTTGGTCCGTACTGCCTCCCTCTTTACTGCGATTTGCAGATCAGCTTTATTAGGGCAAACCTGTGCCGAGTTCGGCTTCAGTCAGGGGAAAGCTCATTCGAGCAGCTTTTACTGGCTTGACAATACAGCAACCTACCTCCGTACCTGTGCCCACACCGTTCGCAACGTTGCATTGAAAATACGGGGAGGATGACGGTTCAGCCCGAGGTCAGAATTTGTAAGCCCAAAATACATGTGGATAGTTGCCAGCTCCGAATTGAGGCAAATTCACAGCGGGTATGGATGCGTAGAGTGTGGGTTTTTGAATTTTTAAATGTTTATAACTCTACAGTGGAAATAAAAAATATGCATCGAATATGTTTATATTTTTCATTGAAAATCTCTCTCTATGAAACAAGACATACAAGTATGAAGATATTAAAAACAGCTCAAATAGCCTCTGCCCTAATTGAAGCCGAACTCCATTATAAAGTAGTACACAAGTATGAAGATATTCTCAGTGCAAGGCAATAAAAACTGCTCGAATGAGCTTTGCCCAGACCGAAGCCGAACTCAGTTGGGACATGTTGACTCCTGCCCGCTCACAAGGGTGTGCCTACTAAATCCAGTCTCTCCTCACGGCTGTGTTTGGTTATGAAGAAAAGTAAGAGAAAATCAGTAAGTTGAGGGAAAGTAGTCACTTATCAGGAGTTTCATAAAATTTGTTAAGAAATTTCCCTGAACTTTGTGTTTTTCTTTCTTACCAAACCAAACACAGCCTAAGCAAAGTAGTAAACCATGCACACTAATCGCATTTATTAATTTCCCATTCTATTTATCTGTTCAGTAGTATCCGAAGGCTGCATCTGCATAGTCCTTACAGCAGTAAGGTGGTTTTTATATGCATACATAATGAACTTCAGAAATTAATTGATAGGATTTATACAAAACAGCTAAACCATATACATTGAATATGTGAATTGAATTTTCAAAGCTTAGGAAGGGTGACTTGTAGGACTCCATCCCTGCACAAATAGCAAAACACCCAAAGTTCAGTAAATCCATTACAGCAGAAACAGAACATGCAAGCAGAGAGATACAGCATATATAGATATATCATTATGAAGGGTTTTGTATTCATAATTCAAACATGCAACATAGAAATGTAATAAAGACCCTGAAAGGTTCATCAATGGATAAGCTAAGTGGCTTCTAAGGAAATTTGAGATGTCAATTAGGGTTGTTCTACTAGGAGATCAAACTTCAGCAGGAGTAATACAGCAAGGCTGCAATTGCAAACTTATTTTCCTGGCTATATTCAATGCGGAAAGGCACTTCACTAAAACTAGGACACCTTCAAGAATGTGTTTATTCCACCAAAAAATATGTTGAGTTTCTGAATGAAGTTTTTTTAGAAGTTGCATTCTGGAGCCCATAACCTAGAACAAACACCTTCAATTAGGAGTAAACCAGAGAGCAACTAAATTAATTTTTATATCTGTATTTAAGTGAATGATGCATCTAACCTGTACTTAAAAACTATAAAACTTTGAAGTTTCTGTTTATTCTATTGAAATATGTCAGAGTTCTACATTCATATTTTTCAATGAGTTGCACCATAGAACCCAGAACCCGGGTTTCACATTTCAGCAGTAAATCCAGGTAATATCCATATAGCCCAAACTTATACTCTTAAGACAACCACATATATGATGATAGATAAGATTCATTTTCACTACTGAGAGGCTACTAGCAACTTTATGGGCAGGGAAAGAGGATGTGTTATTTCATGCCTACAACATCCTCCATCTTTTATTAGTCTAACGAGACTGCTTGTACCTTGAAACCTTTTTCATTTGACCCTATTGTAAAATGGAAAATTCATTTGCACTCCCATGCTTTTACACTAGTGCAAATGAAATTACACTGCAAGACAAACCAAGCTCTACTAAGAACATGAAATATATTAATAATGGTGAAGCACCTTATGAGATCCTTACTTGATATATAATTGTATCCAAGTCTCTGATAGCAGGTTGCAAGAGCAAACATGGTATTTTTATTCTCAAACTAGGGTAATTGCCAATTCTGTATAGTTTCTAACACCTTAAAAAATTCTCTTGCTAAAACTTCTCATAATCCCTTCTTATATTGTCATCAGCATTCCACCCCTGATTGCTCACATAACTCTCCAACTGCACTCGAACTATACAGAATTTCAGAAACTCCTAACCAGCCTATTATGTCTGGTTCCACATCTATCTACCACAACAAGCTACTGATTTTACTCTTCCAAGATTGGTCCATTCTTATGAGAGCCCTTTGTAACTACTAAGAGTTGTTTCATTGCAACCAGGGGAGCTTTAGCTTTTAGTTGCACAAACTCTCATTTCAATGCAACTTTCCTCATCTAATAGCAGTCTTCTCTCTGTGCAAAATAAATTCAGTACATCATAATTTCTCCTTTGGATTACCTCATTGAACCTCAAACACTTTCCTGTTTCTGATAACGGCATTAAATATCTGACTAAACCAAATCACCTTTTGCCTAAAAGACAACGAATTTCAATGTGCACCCACTAAGATGGAAACTTGAAGGTATGTACTCCGTTGCATCTCTATGAGGAGTCATAACACCCAACTTGTGTTTGGGAGGATGAACAAAAATGTCACTACAAGCTCAATCTATGCCTAGTTGTATAAACAGTTCAGGCAGATTAAATAGTTTATGTAATGATGAATAATGTAGTAATTCAAGTAGAGATTGCAGGAAAAAGAGGCACTGTTAGTTTGAGAAACTGTGTCCACTCTATGCATGTATTTCTAAATGTTTCTCACAACATAGAAGAATTGCCTAACAAGCAATAAAATCCCACTAAAGATATGCACAAAACCCGGTCAAGTACAGGGGAATAATTAATCATGAGGGCAGAAAATGGACACAAGACCATGAATGGGGGAGCAATATGAGAAGGTGTGTCTAAAGATTCAAGATCCTCCAAATTCATGTTTTCTTTAGTGAATGTGAATTATGAATCAAAAGAGCATAGAGGTATATATAGAAGTTAAAGATTTGTTTACTACACCATTATCCTTATTTGAACTGAAAGAAATACTGTAAAATAGGTTAGAACCTTCTCTGCACTCTTTCACCCACCTTATGGATGGGTTTGTTTTCCAAGACAGGAAAATAGAACGGCCATTATCTAATGTTAGTCCCAGCAATGGGTGAACTGGACATGGAGTTACAGACCTAAGCTTTTGGCATTTTTTTTTCTTACACAAAGTGGCTTCTCTCAGACTTGAACCTGCATTATCATGCTTGTCAGCCTGAGATTCCATTCTCATAGTCTTTACAAATGCAGGAATAAAGCTCCTCACTTCCTTGCAGTCCTAACCTTGTCATCCCCGTTGCTGGAATTCAAAGTATCTGTTAATTAGGAACGTGGGATTATGACTCAGGTTCCTAAGATCAATGATGGAAAGAGAAACGGCAATGCTGTTATGGAGGGGGAAATCTTGGTTAACATGTCTAATCCTCATGGTCAAGAATGGTCCTTGAATCAAGTAGAGAAATCACCAGTAGATCCTTTTGTTTATCATGCTTCCTTTCCAATGGAGAAAACATCCACCATGTAATACCAAAGAAATCTTAAGAGAAATAAATCTTTAATTGTGATCATCAAATAGATTACCTCACTGTTGGATTTCACATTACCTTAACCACATCATGCCTTTCTAGGTTAAATATCTTGATCATGTAGCATGCTATTTTTTATCCCACAAAACAATATCGCTTGTTGTATATTTGTATCTTCCTCCCAACTTCCCTAAATCATATATAGACTCTAGTATAGGGTAATACTACAGAATCGAAAGGATTCAAGTATTTTCATCTGTAAGTTTCTTCTTCATCATATATCCAAATCAATGGTAGTTTACCCTCCCTACAGATAAATAGATACACTGTCATTTTGACTCTTTGTAAAGAGTAATCATTTCAACCATTTGGAAGGTGGGTGTGATGCTTGAACGGCTCATTGCTTAGCACAGTGGTAAAACTTTGGACTGACAAGTGAGAACACGGCTTTGAGTATGAGAGTAGCCACTTCATGAAAGAATATGCCAAAGGTTATGTCCACATCAAGTTCATCCCTCCCAAAACCCACATAGCCAGGATCAACATTGGGTGATGTCACTTTCTTGGTGATGCCCAAAGAACCCTGCTATAATTATGTCATTCTAAGACTAAGCTTCTTGTTAGATAATATCGATACCGGGAAGCTACATGTAAATCATTGTACAAGGTTAAACTAGGACAGACTTCAAACATAATGGCAAGTAGATTGAAGCAAACCATATTTAAAAATAACACATAAAAGGAGATGACAAAACAAAACATAAAGATTTCAGATTCCCTTTAGTCAATCTATATTTTTCTGAATATGTTCCTAAACTTGTGGAGAGATGGATTTGGCAATGCATGATGTAAGCCATATTAAATTGAGGAAACCATATTAAAAGATCATTATACTGAAGGCAAATGACAAAACAAAATACAAACAATTCAGTTTCCTTTTTAGTCAATCTCTATATTTCTGAATTTGTGCCAAAAGTTGCAGAGAGATGGATATGATGAGCATGATGTAAATCAAGCAATCCTATAACATTAAGGAAGCAGATCAGAAGGCAGAGACCTAAGAAATCAACAGGAAAATGACAAGGGGGAACTGTTGTTACTTACAGAAACTCAGCTGAAACACTATCCTTGTTCACATCATTAGGAAGTGGCCAAACAACCTGGTATGGCCCTTGTGACATTTCCCTTCTGCGATATGCTGCTATAGGATACCCAGAACCACAAGCTACTTGCCACCATTGGGTTGACTGTTTACCCATCACAACCAAGCTGTTGACAAATGGCATCACTTGTCAAAAATTCAGAAGCTACAGAATTTGACTTGGATGAGATTTTGAAGCTTGAATGATCCTGGAAAAATATCTCAATAGAAATTCAGAAATATTTACACACAATCCTCAGAAAGGCATCTTACTTTTGGTCATCAACCTCCACCTTTATGTCATTAGCACTGATCCCAGGAAGTTCTATTCTGACAATATAATTTCGTCCAAACTCTGCAACATCCATCCGTGGATACCATTCATTGCCTGCATTTAACGTAATAGAAATAAGAAAGAGCAAATTAAATTTTTCAAGAACAAATTGATATTAGTAACAACCATATTCTCCTTTACTTGGTAGATCTCACCCTGACTCTACAATGAAGAACAACTACTTGGATAATCATTTTGTAGATCTTTTCTCTTTAATTTTTCACATTAGCCTCTAATAATAGCAACTTAATATGCACTTCTAGTTAGAACTCTGACATCTTTGAATGCAATTTTCCTTAAACAATATAAAGACCACTTCTACAGTAAGTCATAGCTGATGCTATATGGCATACTTATGAAGAAAAAGAGGGAAAAGACAGAAGAAACAAAGTATGTTTTAAGAAAGAATTATTTATCATATCATGAGAGCTTTTTACCATTAGATCTTGAATTATGCCTTATGTACTTGGAGGAAAACTGCTTTCGTCCTTCCAATCCTTCATTTGGTCTGGCAAATTTAGGAGGCTCAATTGCAGCTAATCTACAGTCTTGCTTAGCACATTGGCGATCTGCAGTGTTTGGTAACTCAGGTTCCTTTTTAACTGGTTTAGAGAACATGGGGATGGGGACTCCAGAAACATCTGAAGAAGAGTTTCCATTAACAGAACCAGAGCAACTGAGAGGCACACCAGACTGAACCAAGCTACCTTGCCCAGAAATCTAGAATCACAAAGCAGCAGATAGTTATTTCCAGAACATTTGAAAAAATAAATGAAGAAAATAGATGTAAAAAGAAAGTTCGTCACCTGTTTGTTTGAAACTTGTCTCATGAAACAAGCTTGGGATATTGATCCTTGTCGTGCAAAGAAAAGTCTATTATCACGCCTCTGGATTACAGAGTTCACACTACTACTGCAGTTCTGTCAAGAAAGACAAATATTTTAGATGGGCATAAGTACGTCAGAATGATGGGAAACCATACAAATGTTACTGATCATACTGAGCTGGTGATCCTCGGTTATTGAATATATAAGAAACAAAGAAGCTCAGGTAAAGCATGAATGGAAATTTTATCTGGTCCGAACTATAAAAAGAACATGGTGAAAATCAATGATCAAACGTAGAACCTAATTTTATCAAGAAACAGATGAACTAACATTTATTATAACCCAAACTAAGAATTTTAAGTTTCTCTTATTTAGCTGCAAATCTATTTATTTATAGTCTGTGCACGCATGCAATAATGCATGTCCCAATCAACAAGAAGAATCACAATTTATCAAAAGGCAGCCCCAGAATAGAAGGTTGAAAATTTCTTTTCAATTTGAAAGCACACTGTGATCTCACTGCAGGAACAGCTACCCATTAAACCACCACGCATCGGTAGACAATCGAGCAATAGTTGATAGTCCAAACTTCTCTCTCTACTCACCACCGCCAAGAATTAATGCTAAATTTTCAAAAGCATAGCAACAACTAATTTGAAATTTTGTTATAGATGCAGAAAGTCAGTGCAGACAAAGATGGCAGCGTTGGGAAGTGGGTTCACAAATAACGAGTACAAATACAAATATGTAGAGTGCAAAATCTTGTATTTTGTATGTATTTGTACTGTACATATTTGTATTTGTTTAATCTTTCAAGCAGAGTAACTTACAATAGGCATTAACATATTATAACATTATGATATAAAATAAAGCTAGCAGATTATAGCATTCTATACGAAAACAGTAAACATAGAACCTATCTATAAAAAGAAAACATCAAATCAAAACATTAAAACAGTGAATTTCACGACCCCAACTTCATATCAGAGCTAATTTCAAGTTCAAATGATCATGAAACAGGTAAATGGTTGAGGAAAAAAAACTGGGATAAGCGCTCTGAACAGAATTGTGGAAAAGGTTACCACAGGGAAGACGTGACTGGCTGATAACTCCTCGTTGCCAGCAAAGTGGCCCATGATCAAGTTCATCCTCCTCGCCACTTGGTTCTCCATCGTAAACTCCCCAAGCCCAGAAAATTGAAGATAAACTTGGCTAAAGCCCTCCACAAATGAAGCAGAAGTGTTGTACGTGGAGAGCAAATGACTACTAAGATATGTTGCCCAAGCTTAAGAGGAAAAAGTGGTCGACAATCCCGACAAACCTGGAACTGGAAGATCTTTTCCTCAACCAGTATAGATATTTTTGAGGGAAGATTTTAATGGGTAGAACATAAATATCTTCTTCATAGCATCCAAAATTAGGATCAACGTGTTCAGGATAAAGTGAAGCTTTCTTGTCTTTTAGCAAGTTCAGCCCATAATATCTCTAGTTTTGCCTTGAAAGCGAACGAACCGAGAGATCACCGTACTGTCATCTGTGTGGGAAATCTCTTTATTCAAGAGTAGAGTAGCAAGTTTAAATCCTGCATGGAATGGCAGGTTTCAAGATAACGGGTTGTTTTATTCTGAGAAATATATGGATATTGTTACAATGATTTCAGACCACTGTTTGAATCAATGTGTTTATATATATTTTTTTCAAATATTTATGTAATCAAATTAATACAAAAATATTAAGAAATAGTGAAATATTAGTCTGTGAGAATCATAGGGTATGAGAAAACATCAGCCTCTCATTTCAACCCAATGTTTTGATAAGTCTATGCTTTTTAATCTTTGAGCTGTGATAAGCAAATATGTGACAAAAAGTCTTGTAAGCATTTGGTTCTTTTTAAGAGATATCTTCAAAAAGTCTTTCTAAATCTTAAACATCTTGTACACATTTTGTTAAGTGCAATATTGCATTAGCCATGGTTTATACTGCCTCAAATGGATGAGTCCTTTATTTTATTTTAGGGAAAATTTTCGATTAGTATCTTGTAATTTCTGTCTAGTGCCACTTTCGTCCCAAATTTTAAAATGTGATAATTCAGTTTTCAAACTTTTAAAATGTGACAATCTAGTATCTGTCATTAATCAGTGGTTAATCTGTTATTAAGTGACATATGAGAAGGGTACAAATGTCTTTCGAGTGTTATTTAATCTTCTTTATCAACCATCTAAACATCCTTGCTTCTTCCATTCAAGAAAGTTGGGGTTATGTTTGAGTGGACATTTTGGTGATCCCAACTTTGTTGAATAGAAGAGGCAATAATTTATTTATTTTTTTTTTGTGAATAGGTATAAAGAAAATTAGATGACACTGGAAAGGCATTTTTATTTTTTTCAAATGTCACTTAATGGCTGATTAACAGCTAATTAACGACAAGTACTGAATTGTCACATTTTGAAAATTCAGATACTAATTATGGCATTTTAAAATTCAGGGACCAAAATGACACTAGACCCAAAATACATGATACTAATCCAGAATTTTCCGCTTCGTAGGTGTAGACAACAGTGTTAGCCCATCCCCGACCCTAGTGGCAACGGGATTTGATCTCTGCTACAACCCAGACCTTAACCAATTGAGCCACTTGACGCTGTCTAAAAAGGATAGACCTATAATGTGGGCCGTGTACATGGCACGTATTGAAGGTGGCCCGGATGCCATTCGCGTCGTGCTGTATCAGGCCTTGGGCCTTGGTGGGTTATATTTGGGCAGCCAGGTCACCTTCCTATATAGGTCAGGTCTGGCATGGTTGTGGCCCGATTCCCAGTTGTGTCGGACTGGGCCTATTTTTTTCTTTTCCAATTTTTCTAAACTAAGAAAAAAATAAAAAATAACAAAGAAAATTAACATGAATAATAGACAATAAATTGAAAAAATTGTGAGAATTTTATTTCATTTCAAATTTAATGTGTACAAAAAAATAAAAAATACAATGAAATTGAAGATAAAAATTATAATAAGATTGGATTATTAGAAAATGTTACAAATAATTCTCAAATCTGAGCCAGATTTCCTACTAACCCCATTCTGCTGCCTTTCCTACTGACCCAATCACTTGGTGACAGTTGTCCCATTTTTATGTGATCTCAATTCTACGTGCAACAATTTACACGTGTGATATCTTCTGCTCCCACCCCCTTCTAACGCTGATTCAACTCCGGCTGGTAGGAAATCCCCCTCCCCCTCTGGTTCAACAATGCTTCAATTTTCATTAAGACATACCTTCCCGAAGCAAGCCCATGTTCGTTTTAACCAACTTTCACGGGAACCTCCTCCTAATTCTCTCTCTGATAGCTATATGCTTGTATCCATGCCGGAGACTATCGGTGACCGTGAAAACTCCGTTAACGCCGCCGATGAGCCAACAGTAATCCAGAAAAAAGAATTTTCGCTGTTGCAGATGGTAACTGATGTAACCGTTTTTGGTCACGTACCATTTTTTGTGATGTATAAATTTTTTGGCTAAGTACCTCGTTGTTTGACCCGGTGGTGACGCCTTGGTGATGCTACTTGGTGACGAACTGCCTGGGGGCGGACTGCCTAGTAGCGAACTGCCTGGGGGCGAGTTGCCTGGTGGCGAACTGCCTGGTGGACTCGTCACTTGACTTTCTCCTAGGCGGCTTGCAACTCAGAGGATGGTGGAGCTCCCTAGTGCAGCGCAACCCAACTACCCTTCGCGTGAGGTGATTTCCTCTCCTTTGTAGGCGGCGGGAGCTGAGGGACCTGCGAGAACTGAATCAGAGGACCCGGGGGTACTTTCCCGGCGGGGACTCTCCGATGCCTAAGTTAGCATTCTGAT